CAGTAATTTATGGCTGTGAAAAGCCACCTTCCCTTTCTGTGCAGAGAGAGAGAGAGAGAGAGAGTGTGTGTGTGTGTGTGTGTGTCCCTCACTGATACACGCTGCCTCCTGTTTTCCCTAAATATATGCATTCGAGAGGGAGAGAAATCGCATGGCAGGGACTGAGATTTCAGACTTATCCATTCATGAATAATAATCAGGCTTGGTAATTCACAGTAAATGGGTATCCAAATTGGCTAATAAGGAAGGCTTTCACCCCAAACTGGAACTAGAAGAGAGACCGAGAGAATATCAACAAATGTTGGCTGAAGCATATGTGTACACGATGTGACCTGAATCGGTGAAATATGCAAACCAGCACCATATGCACATGAAATAGCATAAAAATCTGTCAGCAAGGCATGGAAACAGAGGGGGCAAGCTTGGTGGGAGGCATATGTGTTAACTGCCAGCAACAGGACATCGGCAGCAAGTGTCTCCCAGTGGACTGTCTTTAACATCAGCATGGCAACTGGTGCTGCAGCTCTCCATTATGGCTGCCTTCATTTTGGGTACCAGTTTTCTAACTTATTTAGGGTTTGCCTCCTCCAGGGTGAGGATAAGCTGCTTTGGCAGGGATTCAGGAAATGAAATTGTTCTCTTCAATCATTAGATCCCCATACATGGCAGTCATCAAGAATGAATGTTGAGCTGGGAGGGGAAAATCGTAGTTCCAAGTCTTCTCCTCCAGGGGGAGCTGTACTTCAGGAGGAGGTGCCTCCACAGATGTGGCATCAGGGCAGGGATGATGAGGAAGGGTGGATTGTGTCCAAAGTGAGGGAGCATCAGGAGCAAGAATGGGAAATGCTTGGAAAGAAACTAACTGAAGCCCAAATGGACTGGGAATTCTCTAGGCCTTGCAGTTCTCCCATGTAATACCTTTCTGGGCAAGGGATCAAAATGATCCTTTCTGATCTTAAAGTCTGATATGTTTTTCCAGGGTTTCTCTTGTTAGAGATACTAGTTCCTCCTCCGAGGCTTAGGACACTAAGCAAACTCAGTCAATTTAGGGGACAAGATCAAAGCACTGATTCTTATCCCAGTATATTTCAGTTATAAAAGTTCCTCTTTGGTCACCAAGGGCAAGATACTGTTCCATTTATTAAGTATTTAACTACAATATTTTTTCACCCTTCTGGAGTCCCAGGAAATAAGTTAATGTACAAGGTGGATGGGTCCTCTCCAACTTAGATGTAAGGCTAAGATGGCCAAAAGTAGACACATGAATAGTTTTTCAAGGACACAAAAGGTGGAATAGGATAAGTCTTAGATACCTAATAGGTGGAATAGGCTCCCCCCGCTTCCCCCCCCCCCCAGTGTCCAATGATATGCAGCACCTTATTATACCTTCAAAGATGGGTAAAAAATATAGCCAGGCTGACCAGCATTCTAGGAATCTTTCTCCCTCAAATCACTGGTCCTTCAAAGGCTGCTCAGATGACATGAATTTTGATATCTGTAACAAAAGTAAGATTTGGGGCTTGTATCCTTCTCCCTTAAGAAACAAAATGATTAAGCTACTCCAAACACATCTACCCTATATAACTTCTAGATATTTAAAATGAAAATCTCCCCCACTGGAGTGCAGTTCTCCCAGATGCTCTCTGAAAATCTGAAGACAGTACCCTTTCTGACTTCACAGGAGAAGATGACAAAAAATTTCAGCTCTAGAAGCTGTGTACCCAGCACTGCCACCCAGCCAGATTCGCCTCATCTCTTCTGGCCATCTCCTTCAGAAACAAGAGCAGGAGCACCAGGCTTAAGTTGAGGTTATGAGCACATCAGACTGCAGCAATGCATGTTGAACTACTGGCATGTGGTAGCAGGATGTGAGACTGCTACACAGTCTCCTTTCCCAGGTCAGGTGTCTGTTATGGAGCAGTTCCTAGTAGATTGCTTTGATGGTCTGACCCCAGGGTAAAAGCTTTACCAAAGATGTTGTGTAAATGTTTGCATGCAAGTGCTGCCCTATCAGGAACAAAGAGGAGCTGCATGAGAGTTGAAGTGGTAAATATAAAACTAATGGTGATATTAGGATTTTCATTTATAAGCTGTGGAACTGACTGATGCAGGATGCTGTTGCGGTAAACAGTTCAGTGTTAAATACAAGATTAGACTAGTATTTTGCATTCCATTAGAGCGACATATGATGGGCTGTTGATCTTCATATTCCAGACTATAAATCTATTGCCAACATTGGAAAAGGGCTAACCTCAGTGGTTGGTTATTGAGCAATTGGGTGCCCTCAATTGGGCAGGGAGGCGTGGGGAAGCCCCACTGTTCTGCTTTGTCACATCTAAACTTACTGCTTGAACACCTAATTCTCTGCGTGCAAATGAGCATGGGCAAGTGAGCAGTGGGGTCCCCCAGGGCTCAGTCCTCAGGCCCGCAGTGTTTAACATAGTTTCATAGTAGGGTCGGAAGGGACCTGAGCAGATCATCAGGTCCAACCCCCTGCTTTGGCAAGAAAGAGTACTGGGGTCAAATGACCCCAGGAAGGTGATTGTCTAGCCGTGTCTTAAAGACCCACAGAGTAGGAGCCAGCACCACTTCTCTTGGAAGTTGGTTCCAGATCCTAGCCACCCTGACAGTGAAGTAACGCCTCCTGATGTCTAATCTGAATTTACCCTCTGCCAGTTTGTGACCATTATTTCTAGTCACTCCTGGTAGTGCTCGAGGGAACAGGGACTCCCCCAGTACCTGCCGGTCCCCTCAGACTAGTTTGTAACAGGCCACTAGATCCCCCCTCAGCCTTCTCTTGTGGAGGCTGAACAGGTTCAGGTCCCGTAGCCTGTCCTCGTAGGGCCTGCCCTGCTGCCCCCGATCATGCGAGTGGCCCTCCTTTGGACCCTTTCCATGTTGTCCACATCCCTCTTGAAGTGCAGCGCCCAGAACTAGACGCAGTACTCCAGCTGC